CCCCTCCTCCAGGCTTTCAAAGCAATCTCTGCTTTCCATTTTCCAGGACCTCTGCAGCCCACTGTCACAGTTAACCCAAAGTGAGTCCGCTAATCAAAGAACTGGATAAAAGACAGCATGGAGTTTGACCAATGTTGTGCCTGCTATTCAAGAGATCTGGAAATACACGATCCAGACTTGGTGGGGAGGCGGGGATAGTCGTACGTAAAGGTCATTTTGCTGTCCTGCCCGTCTTGTCGATCCTTCCCAAATTTCCAAAAGTGTGGTGGTAAAGCTTTGGAAGGAGGAGGAGGAAGAAGAAGAAGAAGAGGAGGAGGAGGAGGAGATTGGATTTATACTCCGCCCTTCACTACCTGAAGGAGTCTCAGAGCAGCTTACAGTCTCCTTCCCCTTCCCCTTCCCCTTCCCCTCCCCCTCCCCACAACAGACACCCTGTGAGGCAGGTGGGGCTGAGGGAGCCATTTTTCTCCAGGCCAGTTTGGCGTGGTGTGGCCTCGAAAAGGTTGGGAACCCTTGGTTTAGACGAGCATGCGTTTCCACCTTTTCTTTGCATCCTTACTCAGCCTGGTGCTTGAACTAGCTTTGTATGCTCTTTATATCTTTTATTGATAACCTTTATAACGTTATATGAAACTTCCTTGTGTTTTCACCGCTCAAAGCTCTGTAACCACACCACGCCTATTTGGTCCTGCTTTCCAAAGAGTGGTAAACGGGAGGGGCAGCAGGGGAGGTCTCCATCCCTAAGGTGTGGAAGTGCAATCGATCATGCCCATGCTAGCTAGTACGAGTGAAGGAGACGCTGAAACTAGGCAGAACCCTTCAGTGTCAGAGCAGACACAGTGGTTGATGTACAAATCTGTCTAGTGGGAGGTAATCCTTCAGATTTGTTAGGGGCAGTGGCTGCTACCAAAGGAGACGTCGGTGGCAATGTTGGGCCAGGGTGCCAGGTCCTACCTGGCTGCCTGTGTGTGTGGGGGGACTCCTGATTCATCCTGTAGTTCTTCTGTTGCATGCACCATGATGATATCACCCAGAAGTGATGTCATTGCATTTCTGACATTGTGGGTGACACTGGGTTTTTGGGCCTCAAAACCATAGAGTTTTGCCCAGAACCTAGAGCGTTGCCCCGACTTTGGAAATGCAATGACATCACTCCTGGGTGATGTCCGGGGCTATTTTTGGGCAGGAACGCACAGGAACGGAGTTCCGGCTGGCTTCAGAGTTGGCCACGCCCACTACAGCCAAAACCTCTGTGCATGCGTGGCTACAGAGGGAAGGCCTGGAGAGTGACCTCCCCTGGCGATTCTGTGGCAGGAGGCCCCTGGAAGGATTGGGGAGGCATTCAAATGCCTCCCCGTGCCTTACCCGGCCTATCTAAAGGCCGGCTTGTCCGGGCGCCCCAAAGTTGCGGGGCACCCAGACAAGCCAAGGGAAGGCTGCCTTCCCTTCCCTTCAAGGGGCGGCTTGCCCGGGCTCCCTGCAGCTGCGGGGCGCCCGGGCAAGCCAAGGTAGGCATGGGGTGTGGCCTAATATGCTAATGAGCTGTGCTGTTGGGTGTGGCCTGTTATTCTAATGAGTTCCTGCTGGGCTTTTTCTACAAAAAAAGCCCTGGTGATGTCACGGTGCCCGCACTGCTGAGAGGGGGCTTCTCAGGGGTGGGGCTTCCCCCCGCCAGCCAGCTGGGCCGCGGTGGATTGGGGCCCCTGACATCAGGGAATCCTCTGGCCCCATTGGGGAAATGGCAGCCTTAGTTGGGCCTCTCCCTGCCCCCCACCACACACACACACACACCCACACACACCTGGACCGTGATCAGCTTTTTCTCCTTGGGCTTGTGGTCCGGCCATTCTTCTCCGAAGCAGAAGAAGATCTCGTAGGGTGGTGGCACGGTGCTCTGGCCCTTCTGGAACATGATGAGGCCTGCAGGGGGGCGGAAAGGAACGGCACATTGAAGACGGAAAAGAGGCAAGGGAAGTGGGCAGGCTACACTGATTCACACACGACAATAACACACAAATCACTCATCGTCTTTTAAAAAAAGAGGTAACCAGTAAGCTTTTTCATCTATCGACACTGGAAAGCCACAGCAAAAATGATTATTCGTATGCGGTATACAAGCACCCGTGAAATATAGTCCTGCCGGAAAAATTAACTCATCGAATTAGATTAGCAAAAAAATCAAGTGTTGCCGGGGTGGGGTGGGGAATGCTGTCTGGAATCCATTTATATCTTTCGCTAATCAGCACCTCTTCATCCTCCACTACAGAATGACTCACAGGCCCAGGGAAATGCTGATTGCCACTTTAGGGTCAAGTGGCAATTTTTCTCCAGGCCAGTTTGGCCAAAGATCCTGGCGGTTCTTTTGTCATCTGGGCGTGGAACAGGGGTCACTGGGGGTGGTTGGGGGGGGGGAGGTAGTTGTGAATTCCCTGCCTTGTGCAGGGGGTTGGACTAGATGACCCTGGAGGTCCCTTCCAACTCTAGGATTCTGTGATTCCCAAATGTGGTGCCCTTGGGGACCAGGTTGCCCGCCACCGCTTCTCTTGGCGCCCTCCAAGCTTTTCAGAAAGTGGGCAGGGCCATTCGAGGGCTTTCTTGTGGGCCAGAAAGTCCCGGGTTTGAATCTCGCTTCAGCTAAGAACTGACTCGGCAAATGCCGGAAAACGACTTCTGTCTCTCTCACCCCTTTGTATGAGATACAGGGACGAGAATACTGTGCTGTCTTATAGGGATGGTTGTAAGGATCCTTTAGGGCCAAACTGAATGGGATGCGGAGTGTTCCTTAGCAGGTAGGGTTTTTTTTAGTTAAATACAGCTGGGGTGGGGGGGGGGCTCTGCTCCTTCCACCTACATCGTTTTCCCAGTCAACCCCCCCCCCCTGCCATTGCTTTGTTCTGCCTGAACTGGGGGGGATGTGTGTGTGTGTATGTGTGGATTTTGTTGACGAAATATGCGTGAAGCACCCCCCCCTCCCGTGGCTGCAATATAATAAGCACACATGCACCCCTCCATTCGCTGCCACCACCTGCTCAAAGTTGCCCTGTAAAAGCACAGGAGGGTTCCAGCCGCTGCTGGTTCCAGGTTAAGGTAAAGGCTTTTAAAGGTTCCCTTGCTCGAAAGCCAGTCGAGTCCGACTCTAGGGTTGCGGTGCTCATCTCCGTTTCAAAGCCGAAGAGCCAGCGCTGTCCGAAGACGTTTCCATGGTCATGTGGCCGGCATGACTAAACGCCGAGGTGCACGGAACGCTGTTACCTTCCCACCAAAGTTGTACCTATTTATCTACTTGCAATTTCCTGCTTTCGAACTGCTAGGTTGGCAGGAGCTGGAACTAGAGACGGGAGCTCACTCCGTCATGCGGCACACTCGGGTCTCGAACTGCTGAACTACCGACCTTCCACAGCCTGCAGTTCAGCGTCTTCACCACTTGAGCCACCGCAGCTCCAGGTTCCAGGTTACACACATACAAAACCTTCATTGGCAGGGAAGCACAAAACCTCATGGAAACATGGGAAAATACTAAGCTGCATCAGTCGCTTACACTTGCCTATTCAAGCCTCGTCTTCTGATTGCATAATATAAAAATTCTGCAACAGCCTCTGTTATTTCGCAATTAGAATTAAAGAGAAGAAAGTGAACGATTGAGTCATCAGCGTGCCGGCTGTCACCCTCTAGAAGTGGAGTAATGAAACGAGATCGGATATCCCTATAAAGGGGGCAATGAAGTATGGTGTGTGTGGTGGATTTTATTATATCTTTTAGAGAGCCAGGGCTAAGTCCGCCTACATATGTGGTTCCACGTGGCTCTGGAGCCCCTTACAGAAGCTGGTAGGATTCTCACCCGGGTACTGAAGGACAGTGCCTCTAAAGATGTGCAGAGCTCATCCAACTGCACTTTGACCTCTCTACTCTAGTGGGGTGCCCGTGAGCGGGGAGGGGGTGGGGTTGCTAACCACCAAGTGGTGCCCGGAGAGCTCAAGCTAAGGAGATCCGTTCACCTGGACTCTCTGGCATTATAACCAGGGGTCATTTCCTGCAGGAGCACACAGGAGCGGAGCTCCGGCAGTAAAGAGCCCAGGGGGCGGGCACATGCAGCAAGCCCCGCCCCCTGCTCCCAGCAGCCCTCAGTCAGAGCAAGAAGCAGCCAGTTAAATTGCAGAGCTCCCCCGCCCCTCGGTCCAAAACAGTCCAGTGGCACCTTTAAGACCAAGTTTTATTCAGGTACAAGCTCTCCCTCCTCTGCGAGGACAGATCTGCATGTCCCCTCCCCAACAGCTAGCACTCCAAAACAGTCTAGTGGAGCCTGAGCAGTGGATGTTGCCTTCTGACACACTTCTGGTGACGTCAGGGGGTGTGGCCTATGCAGATGAGTTATGCTGATGAGTTATGCTAATGAGCTCCTGCACCTCTTTTTCTACGGAACGACCCCTGATTATAACCTCCCCGCAGCCCACCCTACTGAGGCTTGACTCTTGGGGTTGCCAGCCTCCAGGTGGAACCTGGAGATCTCCTGTTTTACAACTGATCTCCGGATGACCAAGATCGGTTCCCCCGGAGACAACGGCTGCCTTGGAGGGCGGGCTCTCTGGCCTTATACCCTGCTGAGGCCCCTCCCCTCCCCAAACTCCACCCTCCCTGGGATCCACCCTCCCCCACATCTCCACGCACTTCCCAACTGAGAATTGACAGCCTGGGGGGGGGGAGAATCCTGGGGCCTGGCCGGGCTCCTGGGGGGGGGGCGGAGAGGGGCCGCGCCCCCTGCTCACCGTTGAGGAAGCTCTCCAGGCTGAAGAGTTTGATCTTCTTCTCGCGCTCGATGGGGTTGGGTCCGGCCAGCTCCCCGGCGCAGGGCCCCGTCCAGAAGACCTTGCACTGGCACAGCCGGATGGCGTAGATGTCCTGGCCCTGCAGCTCCAGGATGAGGCCCCGGTCCAGGACGTCCAGCAGCTGGTGGGTGTAGAAGCGCTGCTTCTCGTTGGGGACCCCCTCCGTGCTGGGGAAGCGCACCTGCTCCAGCGTCACCGGCCCAAAGAGCTCCACCTGCTCCTGGGTGGGCTCCAGGTTGCTGTAGAAGAGGCGGCAGCCGTGGGGGTTGCTGATGGTCAGGCTGCCCGCCGAGCGCCCGCGGTACTGGAACTTGATGTCCAGGTCCGTCACTGGGGGGAGAAGGAGAAGGGGTTGGATTTATACCCCGCCCTTCACGACCCAAAGGTGTCTCAGAGCGGCTTACAATCTCCTTTCTCTTCCCCCTCCCCACAACAGACACCCTGTGCGGTAGGCGGGGCTGAGAGAGCTCTTTTGAGGACTGCCCTGGAGAGGACAGCTCCGGGAGAACTTGTGACTGGCCAAGGTCACACCAGCAGATGCAAGTGGAGGAGTGGGGAATCAAACCCGGTTCTCCCAGAGTAGAGTCTGCGCACTTAACCACTGCACCAAACTGCAGCAGGAGAAGGAGAAGACAGCTTTAACGCCGGCGCTGTCAACCTTGAGAGACCCCCCCTCGTGTCCCAGCCCCCGTTCGCAGGCCTGCCGCCTCAAGAGCTGAATGGCCGTGCAGATTTTTTTTAAAGACCCTGCTTTGGCACAGGGTTGCTGTTCCCCAGTAGGATGGACCACCAAAAGACACACAACTTTCACAAGTAAACGGTAGACATCAATCTATTGTAATACAATACAATGAGAACCACAGATTCCATTTGAGGTATGAGCTGTGCCTACATTGCTGTGGAAATCGGGTTCCGTTTTCAGCTGTACAACTGAAGAAGATGGCTTTGAAACGTATGGCATACCTGGGAAGGACGTTTTCGGCTGTTAGAAGTTCATTTGTGCTTTTGGGACATCCTCTGATTTTTGAGGTCTTTTGGACACTCTTATATTCAAAGGAAATAGAGGAGTCTCTTGCTGGATATTTTCCGCTATCGTCAAATTGTATTTTGAATTTGCAAATACTGTTTTTGAACGATGACCACCAATTCTATTGTACGGTTTATTGTTATTGTATTGCAATAGACTGATGTCTACTCTTTACTTGTGAAAGCTGTGTATCTTTTGATGGTCTACCCTTGTGGTCTATATTTTTGCATACTACATACGCTTGGGGTCCCTATTGTTTGGTTCCCCAGTAGGGGGCGTCACCTGGAATTGATGTAGGCTCTGGTCTTTGGGCAAAACTCTATGGTTTGAAGCTGATTTTACCATAGAATTTTGCCCCAGAACCAGAGTGTCACCCCCCGCCCCCATGTCACCAACATGCCTAGGTCACTTCCGGGTGGCCTGGTGGGCACATCGCGTGATGTCACTTCCCCCTCCCTGAATATCCCCCCCATCTCCCCACCAGCATTTCTGATGGACCTGTGGCAACCCAGCTTTGGCGACAGCTGGCACCACAAGAAAGGATCTTCACTGTGTGGCTGAAGGGAAAGTCTCAGCAACCATTTTGTAGTTCTGGTTCTTATTTGGTTATTTATAATCCGGCTTTCTTGCTGAGACTCAAGGCGGATCACGTCGTGTGAGTCAAGGACAATCGACAGGACGGGCTGTCTGGTGAACACAATAGAATGTGGACTGCAAAAAGTCCGAAAGCCAAAAGCTGTCCGGTGGCAGACTGTGTCCGAATCTCAAAGGTGCCCACAGGCAGCTGAGTGAGTGTGAGCTTGTTCAGTCGCACAGTCGAGTCCGACTCTTCGTGACCCCATGGACCAGGTCACGCCAGGCCCTCCTGTCTTCCGCCGTCCTCTGAAGTTTGCTCAATTTCATGTTCGTTGCCTCGATGACACTGTCTAACCATCTCATCCTTTGCTGTCCCTGTCTTCTTTGACCTTCCATCTTTCCCAGCATCAGGGTCTTCTCCAGGGAGTGCTCCCTTCTCATTGGGTGGCCAAAGTATTTGAGCTTCAGTTTCATTATCTGGCCTTCCAGGGAACAGTCAGGGTTGATTTCTTTTAGGATTGACTGATTTGATCTTCTTGCAGTCCAAGGGACTCTCAAGAGTCTTCTCCAGCACCATAGTTCAAAAGAATCTATTCTTCGGCACTCGGCCTTCCTTATAGTCCAACTCTCGCAGCCATACATGACTACTGGGAATACCATTGCTTTGACCATGCGGACTTTTGTTGGCAGGGTGATGTCTCTACTTTTTATCATGCTGTTTAGGTTCGATAGGTGTGAGCTAGCTCACAATTTTTTAGTCTCCGGCTCTCACTTTTTTGTCTTCGCTCAGGAAGGAGGGCTCCAGAGCAAACTAATTTATGCAGCAGCCAAATTGCTCCCTCACAACTTTAATGCCAGGGGCTCCATAGGGCCGGACTCGACTGTGTGACTGAGCAACCACAGGGCAAAGTACAATTTTTGCTCACAAGACTCCACAGCTTAGAGGGAGCATTGCCCACAGGCTCCAAAAGGTTGGGGACTCCAGCCGAGCAGAAGCAGCCAAGCGTGACTATTCTCCCTCAGGAAGTGGCGGCTCAAAGCAGCTCGAGAAATGTTCACGCCCCTGTCAGGGATTACAGTTGCAATGATCCCACCAGCCCCACAGTTTGGGGAAAACTGTGCCCGTCGCACTTGCGACTCCATGGCACACTCAGGGCCGCCCTGAAGTTTTTTTGCACCCTAGGTGGGGTTACCTTCTGGCGCCCCCCGCGCACCCAATTATGGGGCTGCCAACTTCCAGGAAGAGCCTGGAGAGAAGGAAGTCCTACTTCTCTCCCCCTTTAGGCGAGCGAGGAGGAGGTGGCGAGGTTTATGGGCACCCAAACCAAAACACCCCACATTTGGATTTACAAAAGCCAACCCTGGGCGGAGGGGGAAGGCGAGGTGGCCTTGCATTCCCCTTTTGCGCCCCCCATGCCACGTGGCTGGGAGCAGCAACAGCACACGGGCTTCTGGCGGGGGGGGAGGCAGTTTGGCACCCCATCCAGGGCCCAGCGCTCTAGGCGAATGCCTAGTTTGCCTA